TGAAGTGCTTTGGGATGTCCGCCTGATGTAGAGGCACTATATCAAATGCAAGTTTTTTTATATACTTTCTTCGAATAGGATGGTAATGGATTAGTGGAACATGGATATTGCACAACTTAAAATCAGTTATTGGTTTTAATTTTTTTTAAATTGCATTGCGTGTTTCAATGCTTGGATATCTTGCAATGAATTCTGAGTGAATATACAATATTTCCTAATAATAATCCCTGCATTTAATATAGCACCTTATCACGTTGTTGAGACGTTCAAAGCGCTTCACAGAATATACTGTAAAGTGGATTGACTGTATTTTGTGGGTGAAACACAGCAGCCAATTGTATCCCTAATTATCTCAGTAATTATGCAATTGGTAAATCATTGAGAGAAATATTCTACTACAGACTGTACAGTAGCTGTTTGAGTTACGGTAGGGACATGCATCTGCTGTGGAGAAGGTATAGAATAAATAAATTACAATTACGGTATTATTGGGTAAAGATAGCAGAGTACTTTCATATTCCATCTGCTTGCAAGTTCTTGCTATTGAATTACATCCCAAACGTAGCTTTTCTGTAGTACATTTGTAAGAATATGAGGTCTGGCGATATCATCTGGCAGTCAGTGATCGTATAAAGTATCGGAGGAGTGTTTTTTTCAGACTGTGAGAGCAGCAGACCCCAGTCCAATTATAGAATATGTAAATTATACATGATGAAGTTGGCTAAAGACCATAACGGCTAAAGATCTTCAATAGGCAGCAGGTTTCAGAAGCGTATCCATTGAAGTCATGTGGTGTTGCGGGGAGGTCAGGGAGAATACATGCACATGCATTAAATTAAAACGTGTCATCAATGGATGAAGTTGGTAATGGACGTTTTTGCTCAAATAAATTTATCTGCTTATTGTCATTGTCATTGGTGAAATGTTCCACATTAAACCTGATCTATAATCTACACAGTGGTACAATTTGTTTTCCTTTTCATAATATCATCCAATTCTTATTGATATGAATACTTAAAGGTGCCAAACCATAATTCATTGATGACTTTGTCACTTACGAATCATCAGATAAGTCCACTCAGGGATATAAATCTTACGTCCCATGGAAATTTGTCATGTATTGTATGCCTTTATATTCAAAGACTGAAAATGTAATTAGTTTGCTTCTATCATACTGAGCCACAGTAGTGTTTCTGTAAGGCAGGAAGTTTACCTTTGGATCCTATCCTTTTGTTCAGCTGAAGTACAGTTTGTTCCTATGATGTTTTCACAGTTCGTCTTGCTCCAGTGCCAATTGTTACTTGGTATTGGGAACCTTATGGTTTTATTTGACACAGTGCCTGTGCTGCAGTGGTGCCCTTGTGAATGTGTTGTAGAACAATGTGATTGTTTATAAATGGGTTTTGTAGCTGGATAACCTGCTGGTGTGTGTTTTCAAGTTGTCCATTTCTTTATTAAGACTTTAAGAAAGGCCTGGGGCGGATCGAGCAGGGGGACATGAAGCAGATCAATATTCACTGAGTGGAGGGAGCTGGGCTGCAGGAGGTCGCAGTAAATTTGCTGACTAGTGGACTAGTGGATTCTACTGTTCTGACTCCATATCCTGGCATTCAGTTATGTCTTTTGGTTGGTTCATCACATTGCCAGACCATTAATAATCACGTGTTTTCTATGGCTCCCTGGGCTGGCTCCTGCTGTAATTTTGATTCCATTCGATGTTTACTTAGATCCTGCATTTTCTACCCACTACAATTATAATTGCCCAGGTTCATAACCAGTCAGCATTAATTTTCTAAATAATTTCTGTATCTTTTGTTCCCCTTGAATATTTTCATGTTCAGTTAGTTTCCAAAGATGCTAAGGTTATCCACATTATTGAAGTTGTATAGTTATTAAGATTTAACTAATGTACATCACTATCTCTTATCAGAACAGATCTGTTGAGCAGTTTTAAAAAAAGTGCGAGTTAGTTTGAAACAATGGCAACTCACATTTATATAGCACTCTTCACACGGATAGGGTCTCAGAGCGCTCAACAGTTGTCACATTCACTCTTTGTTTTCTATGCCTGTCTATTGTTTAAAATATGTTCTGTAAAGTTGATGTGTTCACTAAAAGAATTAGCCAGTGTGAGTACGGTTAGTAATTACCGATTGTGCACGGGGAAACTCAGAAAGTGCAAAAGTTTGGTAGAACTGGCATATGCAGGGCATAAATATATTGAGTAGTCGTTTAAATACATTTTTTTTAATGTATTTAATGTTTTTGATACTTATAATGCCATCATGTCTGACTCTAGCGTCGATTGCAACAATTTGGCGGGTAACTGACTATCTATAATTTGTGTAAGTGGATAGGAAGGTTCGCTCTTACTTTATTGGGTCACTTAAAGGATGATTTTGATTGGACCATAAGAGAGACAGTAATTACATCGAGTAATTGGTGCAATACAATTATCATTGGGTTCCCTAACTCAGAGAGGGCCTCAATGCCCATAAAAGAACAAGCGCCATGTGCTCGGGGTCACCATTTTCTACCCGACAATGACAAACGGTATGTGCTCGGACTAGTGATGAGTAGTTGTCAGAGGTTGGTTCTTCTTGCAAGTTACATTAACTTCTTACAAGTGGTTGCTAGTGTGTTTAGTTTAAGTGTGATTAATGTTTGTTATCTCATAGCTGTGTTTGTTGCTGTTTATCGTGTTGTTTAAGATTTAATGCCGAGGATTGTGGATTTCAAGCTACAATAAAATAGAAGCAACAGTAAAATTCCGTGGAGCTTACTTAACTGCTTTCTCGAACTTTTTATATAAATGAAAGAAGGAGGGAATACACAAACAGGTTCAAATAGGTCACAGAGGTATTCGACAATACAATTAATTGACGGAAGCTTCCCAATTCGCTTCAATTTAAATAGCAATTGGTAGGATCTGTCTTCGTGGAAGAACTCATTAGTCAATGAGGTTGAACACAGAGGCCACCCATACACTCTGCGAGGGGGAGTGAGACATATCGTGAGTGTACATATAGGGGTGAAGAATTGTCTCACAATGATATAGTTTGACGCCGAGCCTGCGAGGAAGGGGAGGTGAACTGTAGACATAGTCGAAGAGGGAAGTCCTACACAATAATAATAATAATAATCCTTGCATTTGATATAGCGCTTTTCACGTCGGGAGGACGTCCCAAAGCGCTTCACAGAACACACTGTAAAGTGAATTGACTGTATATTTGTGGGCAAACGCGGCAGCCAATTGCGCACAGCAATGTCCCACAAACAGTCGTAGATTGAAAATGACCAATTTTTTTTATTATTGTTTTGTTTTGGAGGGATTATTATTAGGCTTTGTGTGGAGTAAGGAAACTTGCCCAAGGTTTCGCCCTCTGCCTGGAATTGAACTCAGGTCTCTCACTTGCAAAGCGAGTGCTCTAACCACTGAGCTACAGGACAATTGGATAAGTCTATAATATACTGCAATTTAAGAGCACGTCATTAGATGTTTTTTACTGGTTTAATTGAAGAACAGGAGAAAGGTCAATGTGCATTATTACAACATTAGCAGAGTTAATGGTTAATGGAATGTTTGGAATTCCACTTGTTCCCAGAGAATCAGCAACCATTTCTATCCATTAATACACAATGCAAACATGTAGATGATAAATTTTAGTTGTACAGTACTTACTCAGATTCATCTGAACTAGAGTTTTAAAACAATGGAACACATTGTGTTGTTTTGGATCAAAGCTCTAATTTGTTTGACAGTTCTTGGTCAGTTCTGTGAATGCTCTAAGGTTTATCATTCACGCTGTGCGTACAAATTTCAATGCACTGATCTTGTTCCAGGCAATTCTTATATGAAGGGACATAATTATAAATCCTACCTTATGGTAAACAAGTTATTTATGTTTTGTTCTAACACAGTTTTTTTTTAAATTTCCTGTCGTAATATCTAATAAAACTGTAGACACATGATCAGCTTTTCCAGACTGCCCTTTTTTTTATCGTGCAGGCTGCTCTCCAAAGACCTGGAGAATTTAACCTTTTTATCGCTTTCAACTGAGGTCAGTTGCAGCATAGGTCAGATGCAAATAGCGCACTCTCTACACATTGATTGTAATGTATCATGTGGAAGAAACTCTCATGGTTTGGTTTGAGAACTTAGTGCTGATTCTAAAAGTGGTTAAGATCCTCAGCTCAGTGCTTTAAATGGAGAGCAGTGCTACTATTATAAGCAACTGGTCAAATTGCACTGTTTTCTGCTGATTAGACATGATTGCAAAATGCAAGGTGGAATTTCCTACGCTTGAAATGCAGTAGTTAGATTTATATTTGAACGAGATTCTTTCATGTCCTTTCCATGCTGCTGGTATATTTTATAATATTGTACAAAATCCATGGAATATTGTAGATGTTCAAATTACAGAACAGTCCTAAATGTTGTAGCCCTATAATGAAACACGTACTGTATATACATTTGCTTTTTTTAGTGCATCTTGATGACATGAAAGGGGCTATATGAAATGCAAGGATTATTATTATTAGTGTAATTTATTATACATTCCGCAAAGATCTGATGTCTTCCAATCAAAATATGTCTTTGAGCACTTAAATGAGAATACAGTTTGTATCTGAGAACATAGTGTATTATTCAATATATAAAACAATTTACATTTACACAGTTTCTTTCATGTTTGGAGGGCCTTCTCAAAGCGCTTCAGAAAACTGACAGGGAGTGTGAACCCTAAAATGTATTAGAACATAATGGGTATCTAAAAAGGATTATGATAAATCTAATTACCATAAGTTTATTTTCCCCCCCTAGACGCAGAGAGTATCACTGACTAATCTTCAGCAAAACTGCAATTGCTATTTTTCGCCTATTGCTTTATCAAATGCAATTGTTAGATTACTCTATAGAGGGCAGTATAGAAACACATAAGAAATCTTGAAGTTTGCATCAGTAACATGAGATTGAAATTTACAGAGTGGAAGCTAAGCTGCTTGTACACCAGAGCTGTCGATACCGGGGAAATGGTAAGAGTGAGGTAGATTTCAATTTCATTTCAGTATATGGAACTGGCTTTAACTTTGTGAGAACGTACATCAAATAGTAAGCAGAGCAAAGAAGATATTGGGGTGCATTGCTGGGGCGAGGGGGTGTTGCATTGTTGGAGGTTGTTCGGATGAGACGTTAAACCGATGTCCCATCTGCCAGTTAAGGTGGCCATTAAAGATCCCATGGCATTATTCGAAAAGAGAAAGGAGTTTCTCCCAGTGTCCTGGCCAACAATCCCCCAAATAAAACTGGTCTCTCACTCCATGGCTGTTTGTGGGACTTTACTGTGCGCAAACTGTCTGCTGCGTGTTGCCCACAAAATACACAGTCACCGCACTTTACAGTATATCCTGTGAAGCGCTTTGAGATGTTTCAGAGACGTAATAAGACACTGTAAGACAAAAAAATCAAGGATTATTAATATTATATGAAATGCAATATTAAACTGGTAATGTTCATGCTGGAGAATACAAGCCTTGGGCTTAATTCTTGAAATATTCAAGATCCTAAAATGTAGAGGTAAATTGCAGTCTAATAATATAGTTAAAATATCCACAAATGAAGATGGATTCAGTGTTAACAATTCTATAATCCTTGCATTTGATATCTCGCTTTTATTTATTCTGATAAGAGAACTTTCTATAATAGTCCAGAGAAGAAGGTTTGAGTGTCACCACTGCAAGTTGACTGACTGACTGACTGACTGATTGATTGATTAATTGATTGATTGCATTCAATTACAGTATATAAATGTGGAGTGTCAATGGATTGTTAGATCTTGTGGAAAACTGTTAGTCATACAGGAATAAATCCACATTAACTTGATTTCAGAATTTGCTCTTTGGACAGGACAGGATATTGCATAAACCTGCACTGGCTTTTGTTTTGGCTGAGGTTGCTAAACTGAGGTCCCGTCTCCCTGTTCAATTGGATGTTAAAGATTTAAAGATTGCGTGCCTCTATTTCAAAAATGAATGAAGTTTGTCTCAGTGTTCTGGCCAATAATTTTCCTGGTAAACTGGCCATTCATTTCCGAGCAGTTTGTGGGACCTTGCGGTGGACGAATTGACAGCTGTGTTGATTACAAATGGAGTCACTGCACTTCAGAGCATTAACCCTCCGAAGCACTTTGAGACACTTTGAGACGTGATAAGGCGCTATATCAAATGAAAAGATCATTATTATTGCATCAGGGTTTTATATTATAGTATGATGTCACAATATATTCAGATCCAGAAAATGGATTTTGCATTTATAATTATTCTTCTAAAATTCATTTAAGAATGCAGCATTGAATATTGCCATATGGCCACCAAAACTGAAAGATTTTTAAAAAATTGCTGTGAAGTTAGAAAAAAAACTTTGATTTCGAAGCTTAAATCTCCTTCCATTCCGCAAGCTTGTAAAATTCTGCATCTTCAATATACTTTTCTCACCGCCTAGTTCTGTGAAAAGTCTTCCATGAGCTGCTGTTTGCATTGTGATTTTAATCGCAGTTCCCTTCTCTTGACTGGCAATATGTGTTATAAATGTTTGACGTGACATTCCAAACTGAACCAGTCACTGGATGGGAAAAAAAAGAGGGGCTGTGATGAATTCCTGTCAGCTGCCTTGTGTGTATCAAAAAGTCAAATGTATTTACAGTTTAAAACAAACTTTCAATAATATAACACTCTAATTGAGGTTACTGAAGCAACTGCAGGGTTTGATAGATTTTTGGTAGGTCAGGGTATTAAGGGATATGGGGAGAAAGTGGGAAATTGGAATTGAAAGGATTAGTTGAGGTACAGATCAGCCATGATCTAAATAGATGACGGAACAGGCTTGAAGGGCTGAATGGCCTACTCCTGTTCCTATGTTTCTATGATTGAAAGTGTAAATCCAAGTACCAGCATTTCACTTTCCTATTATGACATTGAGCTCCCCAACTTGTAGCATTTGCCAACCAAAACCACATTCATGTTTTTGATTATCTTAGTCAACGTATTTTATTCTTGGTAGCATGAAACCTAAGTGGTTACGTAGAATATCTTCAGGGGACTATTGGATGCAAAATAATATAAAGATCATAAAGATCAAAGTTATTTTACATATTCTTTTTCAGTTTTATAATAATAATTAGTAATCCTTGTTTTAGATCTAGGCACCTTTCATGTCGGGAGGATTTCTCAACGAGTTGCACAGGATCTGCTGTAGCGTGTAATGACTTGTAAGTCAACGAGGCAGCCAGTTTGCAAACAACATTGTCCCACAAACGGCCATGAAGTGAATGTCCAATTTTATCTGGGGAGTCGTCAGCCAGGACACCATGAGAAACTTTGTTCTCTTTTCAAATAGAGCCATGGGATCTTTAACATCCACCTTAACAGGCAGACAGTACCTCAGTTCAACATCTCATCTGAAGGGCAGCGCTTCCAACAATACAGTGTTCCCTCCCTATACTGAAATGTCAGCCTAGAGTGTGAGCTCAAAGTCCCAACATGGGGTGGGGGTGGGGGGGCTGGTGGGTTTCATGCATAACCGTCTGACTTGGAGGCAAAAGTACTGCTACCAAGTGAGCCAAGCTGACACCGTATTATTTTTCAAGAATGAATAAGGAAAAGAAAATTTGTAAGGTAATTTGTCCACATGATTATTTGTGAACTGCTTTGTGACATTTCAATGTGGGAATACGCTATAAAAACGCAAGTTCTTTTCTCGTTTGCTAATGCTCTTTATTCACAGACACTCACAGATGTGGATCACTAGTTAAAAGAGAACATATAATATCTCATATATTGCAGCACAATGTGGACTACAGATAATTACATAACAAGAACATGGTTACAATCGTGCTGTCATTAATTTTTAGGTTGATGTGATATTTTGCTGGAGTCCAGTCTCAGTTTTAGCAATAGAAACCTAGAAATTGCATCAACATTACGCAAGAAGTTACAAGAAATCGCACCCACATAGCGCTGGGAACTTCTGATGACGAATTTAATTGCAATCATTCTGCTTACCAGACTTCCCAACTCTTCCCTCCACAAGCTGCAGACCATTTTGTGTCCTCTCCCACGCTAAGCTCCGTGAGCCTATCACCCCTATCCTCGCCCGGCTTCACTGGCTCCCCGTCCCCAGTGGATCGCTTTTAAATCCCTCCATGATCTTGCTCCTCTCTACCTCTGTTCTTCTAAAACCCTACTACCCGCTCACTCCTCCGCTCGGTAGGCACTGCCTTGCATCACGCTCGACTGTCCAGCGCTTTGGGACACCCTCCCAACATGAAAGGTGCTATAATAAATGCAATTTGTTGTTGTTGTTGATATTTCCTCCAATCTTTAGCCAACAACCTTTTATTTGGTGACATGAATCCCAAGTTGTGGTTCCTTTTGTCCGAGTTGACTATAATATTAGTACACAGTGAGGTTAAATTGTGGTTGAAGGTTGATTATAACAGCCTTAGTTTAATTACAACGTTTTAGAGTCAGCTGCAGGTATATCACCTTTGAGATAAATTTGCCCATGTGTGATATTCAGTGAATAGTGCAGGATACTAATCAGCACATCATTGCATGACAGGAAGAAGTACTGTACCTAAACGATCCTGTGACAATACTTAGGAGGAAAAGCGAGTTTCTCCTGGCTCATGGTCAGCAATCCCCCTGATTAATTGGTTATTCATTTCATGGTTGTTTGAAGATAAGTAAATATTTAAAATTTGAGTCGGAATCACTATATTCAGTGCTCTGATCTTATGTCTCCACTTTACTGTACGTACACACCCTTTGTGTACAGTATTTAGTCATTGTTTCTATGCTCCTTCCGTTATCTAACAATAATAATAAGCAATTAACCAGCAGTTATTAGGAGAAGGCCTTGGAACAACCCCTCCCTTTAAATACTTCATAGTCTGGAACTTATGAAGAGAAGAGTTGGGTAGTCTGGTGAGTAGAGAGTTGGCATAGTCGTGTTTAAGACTGACCTTTTCTTGGTTAAAAACTAAGAGACACCCAGGGCCGCTATCTGCAAAACAATAAACAGCCCAACAACAATAATTTGTACTTTCCATGTCAAAGTGTATCTCAAACTCCAATTTGTAAACCTGTGCACCATAACCGGACGAGTAAGTAATTAATTTTAACCTATTCATTTTCAAATGCTATTGTGGTATCAAGTCCATTTTCTTACCAGACATTAACTCTTGATATTTGTTGATATTGGAACTTACTTTGTTTTATATTTTGTCTTTACCTACAAATACATAGTCTGTACACTTAACAAAATACTCTGCAAAGTACTTTGCGATGTTTAACAATGTCAAAGGCACGATATCAAATGTAAGGATTATTTTTATGATAACATAATGATAGTATTATTATAATAGTAATATCATTTAATATTATCATTTTTGTTTCCTTGCGGTTTGCTGTTTGCATAACCTGGAATGGAATTTGTTTTTCCATTCTATTATAAATCTCTGATCAGTGTTGTTGTGGGTATTCTTTGTTAGGTGACTATATGTTGCAGATTTAAGGCTTCATACAGGAGGGTCGGAAACTGGGCGAATAGAAAAGGGCGGAAATGTTTGCCAAACATTGCGGGGCATTTGGTAAGCAGTGTGGAGAATTTTGCTAGGGTCTGCGGAAAATTACGAAGGGTTGATTGATGCTATTGAGAGACGCATTTTGCGAAAAACCCAGGTTAAAACTCCAGGCCTATATTTCCTGAACATGCAGTTACGTTTAAAATACTAAAAATGTTAATTTGATTAGTACAGCACATAATTTGTTGCAGGATCTCAGCTTAGGCTACAGGCGCTGGGGGAAACCCATTTCCCGCTTGCTCTGTTTCCGCCATCCCAGCATTCGCCTTGTCACGACCAGAGCCACTCCACCTACAGCAGCAGTGCACAGAGGCCCGGGGCCGAGCACACTGGGTATGCAGGTTGGTAGAGGGGCCGAGCACACTGGGTATGCAGGTTGGTAGAGGGGCCGAG